GTGTGCTTTTAACATACTGTTCAATAAATAATATATTTCTAAGAAACCCAAATACTTTTGATTATATACGCACTTCGAAATTGATGCACATTTGACTATAATATTTACAAATTGTTTATGAGCATTGTTTGAAAAATAATGTTATCTATTTCAACCTGGTCTCGAAATAAAAGGTGGTCGCCTTTTTTTCACTGTCAGGGTTCAATTCGTATAGTTTTGGCTACACAAACGTAAATAAAAGAAATTGACTACCTACGAGTAATGATGGCGTCTTGATAACCAATGATTTTGACGAGACAAGATTTGTTGCATATATAAGAGAAATTCCGGAATCAACAAATTCAATATACATAAAGCAACTGAACTAACATACTTCATGTCCTTAGTTACTATATGTACAATATTACTAATGAAGTACTATCAGTCACTATCAGTGATATCAGTCACCAGCCTCCCGAGAATAAAGGACAAACTGACTCAGTAGGGGGACAGCGTTCGTGACTGAATATAAAATGCGGTAATTCTTTGGAGGAGTCATGGTCGCAAACCTCTAATTGAGCAAGACAATTTTCGAAAAATTTAATTGATTTGGTGCATTCTGACACATTTTTTTGTGCAAAAACGTATAAAAACCATATGTTTAAATTTGTAGCGCCACCACTAGTGACTATCGGTTATATCAGACACTATCAGTGATATCAGTCACTATCAGTGATATCAGTCACTATCAGTTATATCAGACACTATATCAATGACTATCAGATGTTCAACTGTCGACAGTCCTTATCTTGAGTAGACTATGAAGTGCACTAAATGAATTGTTTCTTCGGGTCACCAAAAGTTACGAGGGTTGACTGAAGCCTAAACATGGTATTCAATCAGATTGAAACAATTTTTATGTGTATAGGGCCGTCATTAAGAACCTAAAATGATTGGAGCAACTCTCATAACAATAGACGTGCCTATAACGTCCTAGGCATGGATAGGGTCAGATTTGTCAACATCCGCTTGACTGCCACTGCACATAAAACGACTAATTTTAGAATTATCCTTTGCTGTTCAAATTTTTGATATAATTTTCATTATCAGCTGTAATTAAATTTAATATTGATTTGTTGTAAAAGAATTCAATATATATGATGACCATGAAAATCTTGAACTAGCCAAACTGAAAGTAGACCACTCAATTTTTATCAAAATCCGACTGTCACTGCACACAAACCGACTATTTTTAGAATTATCCTTCCGCATGAAAATCTGTGATCATCTCACAATATCTGAAAGAAAAAGCAAGTACAGACATCAAATGCCAAATCGAGACCAAAAATTAGTCAAAAATTGGAATGCAAACACCTCAAAAAGGAGGGAGGAAAGGATTTCTAAAAATAGCACGGACTGCAGATACAAGCATTTGCATAAAAAGTTTTAGTAGACTTGATCCATACGAGTTTTAACTCCAACATTATGATATAGGCGGTTATGTTCCCTTTAATTGCACTACCATTGAAGACCAATAATATACAACTGAATGTAATGATGTAATGTATTGTGAACACGCATCGATAATTCTCTATTCACGACAATATAAATAGGTTGTACGTTTTTAGCGTTGACTGTTAGTCAAGTGTGACGTTGGCTTTAGGCTGTATTGGACACCTCATATGACCAAACACTATAGATAAGATAAGAGTACAAGACTTGGAAAAGAACAAGGTAGATTATTACGACGTGTACAAAGGGTATTATTTTGTAGCTTTTGGCTATATTTCTATTTCTACATCGTTTACATTGTGTGAATGGGATGATTTTTAACCTACAATTACTTGTATTTGTCATATTCTGGAACATGTAGTTTATAGAACGTTTATCTAAGTGATATGATAAAGAAATTATCGTGTTCAATATATGGTTGAATATTGTGCTTGTTAGTACCTACGATGGTTGTTTTCTGTGTTCAACGTAAATGACATTATTGTGATTTTGTGGTTATTTTGCAAATTATTATCCACATTGCCAAATTCCGGACAGATATTGCAAAATTTATTACTTTTACATAGATGTTTTCGTTCACATTGTTCGAGACTAACAGGTAAGGTAATAAAAGTGTCTGGAAGTTCAAGTCTAAATGAATAGTTTGATATCTTATTCAAATATCGTTTGACCACATGACCAGAACATTTTGGCTAGCCTATAGGATATAAAAATCTTAAATTCATTCGGTAAGAGTTTTATGAAATTGTCATGCTATTTATCGTAATTATGAAATCTCCAGAAATCACAATTTTTGTAGTTGGCTATCTAATTCAAGTTGCGTTTGACCAGAAGACCAGATCAGGAATGACTAAAGGATATCAGAGTCTTAAATTCATTTGGCAAGAGTTTTATGAATTGGTCTTACTATTTATCATAGCGAACAAATTGTATGAAATCTCCAGAAACCGCTATGTTTATAGTTTACCATCAAATTCAAGTATCGTTTGATAAAAAGACTAAAATAGGTTGGCTAAAGAATATAAAAAATCTTTAATTCAATTGGTTAAGAGTTTTATGAAGTGATCTTTATATTTATCGTAACGATAAAATCTCCAGAAATCATGTGTTTTGTAATTGGCTACCTAATTCAAATATCATTTGAACACAAGATCAGAGCAGGTTGGCTGAAGGTTATAAGAGTCTTAAATTGATCATTCAAGAGTTTTAAGAAATGATCTTGCTAATCTACAGATGACAGTTTTTGTAGATTGCTACCTAATTCTAATATCCTTTGTTCACAGGACCATAGAAGGCTGGCTAAGAATATAAAAATCTTAAATTCATTCGGTAAAAGTTTTTTGAAATGATCTTTCTACTTGTCGTAACGATGAATTTTTCGGAAATCACAATTTTTGTAGTTGGCTATCTACTTCAAGTTGGGTTTGACCAGAAGACCAGATCAGGAATGACTAAAGGATATCAGAGTCTTAAATTCATTTGGTAAAAGTTTTATGAATTGGTCTTACTATTTATCGTAGCGAACAAATTGTATGAAACCTCCAGAAACCGTATTTTTTCTAGATTGCCATCTAATTCAAATATCCTATGACCACAAGACTAGAACTGGTTGGCTTAAGGATATAAGAATCTTAAATTCATTCGGTAAGAGCTTTATGAAATGATCTTTTTTATTTATCGATTACATCTTCAGAAATCACCATATTTTAGTAGAGAATGATTCTGTATATACTACTTTAGAGAATGGTTCGTTTTAGATCTTAAATCAATGTATTTATAATTCACAAAAACGATTTATTTCTTCAGCTTGTCGCCAAATAGAATTTCACGACCATCCGGCACATATACTGTTATTTTTACATGGTAATCAATGTGAACAATTCAATATAGCGTGAAAGCTTCCCTGTCTTCGCACGAATTGGCCTATGTTTAATGCTCTCTATAGGCGCTTCCTTCACTGAATCGTCTAATATGTACTTCATTGATACAGACCGACCAAAGAACGCAATGGGATCAATTCCCAAGAGCTCTTACGTGGACTGGAAGGAATTTATTATGCAGATGATTGTCTGTAAATTTGCTGTGATGTTAATTAATACCACAGAAACTTCTCTGAGGTTCTCTTAATCTCTCTGGTATGCACTTCTTCGATTTAAAATATTTCTATGAAAGAGCATAAAACTTTCAGTGATGCGATAGAAACATACATCCCAAAAGGTCTTTTCTGATGGATCAGAGACAAATGATTAGCTTGCTACTTATGCAATATTGAAATTTTTCCAAAGTATGTTCTTTTACGTGACGATACTTCGAATTTGGTAAGACACTTCGTCGATATTAAAGTACAGTAAAACGTCAAAATACGTGTAGAAAGTACTTCTTTCATGCAATTTGAACTTCTTCCGTGTACGCATCATGCTTCCTTCCCATAAAATATACTATCCAATATCTTCGAGAGATGTCCAATGGACGCTTCAGTGATACCTAGAGAGTTCTGCTTCATCAATATGTTAAGCACGCCAGTGGTAGTCATTTATAAAATATGTTATGCAATAAGGACTTGATTGAAACTTCCTCATAAACACTTATTTCCCATTCACGACAAAAAGATTGTAACCATTGGCACAAACTTCCTTGATACAAGAAAGGTGACTATTTTAGTCAAAGTATGAGACAGAGTTCTTAAGAAAGAAACATCCGTTTTTTGCCGAATAACTTAGATTCTTTTACCTTTTTCTGATTACACTTTCACATGTACAGTGGAAAAGTTGATGAAGGTTGAATACTTCAATCGTCCTCATTAAACGACATAAACAACACACGGGATCTGAACACTTAAAAGTGTGCTTGATTTCAAATTGGCTGCATGTTTTATACATGTGTTTCCGGTTTATGTCGTTGTTTTTCTCTATATAGATCGATAATGACGCATAGTATGTTATGCAATACAATAAAAAAAATAGAAAAATGTCTATTTTGGGATACAATATTAGGCCCACTCAAAGTGTATTGTTTGTATGCAATGTTACTTAGGATATAATTAGCCATGTAAAGAACAAATAGAATAATTAACCCTATTGACGATTGATGTTTAATTAGTTTGTATTGTTTGTAGCTGTAATTAACAAAATATTAATTAACATGTTCTTGTTAGCCTTAATATTGTTGTCAAGTTACTACTCGTATTAACTGTCACATGGTATGATCAGACACATTATAATAGGCTTAAAAGATTATTCAATTTTTTATTATTTGTCCCTACTCTATGATCGTGATCCGTCAGAAGTTTTAATTACAAAAGGAAAGAACACCGAGTGCGTAAACGTAGTGTCAATCTAGTGTGTAGAAGACAGTGTTCGATTAAGGGGTCCGTTGCCAAATGACTTTTTGTGACTAATATTTGGATAGCGTACAAGATGCTCACAGCTGAACTGGTTTATGTGATCTAAGACAAAATCGTCGAATATAGTTGCTTATACATAATCATATTTATACCACTGAAGAATCATATGACCTACGAACAAAGGTAAGGAATTTTAGGTTGTAACATTGCGGTTAAGCAATAAGGTTATTTTAACATAGCTGTTGCTGTCTTAAGTATGATCTTCATTGAGAAAGGTTGCCTGCTAGCAGAGATATACGTCTCTTCAAACAAAAGGATACTTGAATAGTTTCTACGGTACAAAGTATTCGTTTTGGTTTGATTTTAGACAGGGAGAAGGTCAATGCATTTTTATGAAATTTGGGGAGTATATAAGGTATATCATGTCATTTGTTGCAAGTGTTTGATGATGTCACAAATCGCAAAATATCTTTGTATCACATAAGTTTCTTCGCGATTAAAAATGACGTCGTCAAACAATTAGTTTTAGTGGAATTACAGGAACCACAGACGTCTGATTGAAAATAGGAATGGTGCCAATTGGTGCTATCAGTGTCCACGATACACATACATACTTAGAAAACCTCTTTACAATCCTTTAAAAGTGGTTCTCTGTGACCTAACACTGAGAGGACATTAGTTTGAAAAACTAGTGGCATTTACTTTTTGGAACACATTTACTGCGATGGCATTCAAGAATGGGGATGCATCATCCACCAATTAATTTCTTATGTTTGCAAACTATTTCCTCAAACGATCAAGTTTAGACTGCCCAGAATCTATGAATAACTTCTCAGCATACAGATTTATGTGTCTGGAACGTCCTATTATTAATTCCTTTCTCTTCCACCGACCGGATATTATTGTATGATAAGATGTTGTTAATATACACACTTGATTTATTGTCTGTATTCTAATTTTTATGGGTTAGAGGTTTGTCGATAATATCAGTCACTAGGATTTGGTACAATCATCAATTTAGTCATGTCACATCGACCTGGTTTTAGCATCAGATATCTCAAAATTGTGGATAATTGTTATTAATTATTAACGTCATCCCAATAATGATCGTGATGAAAATCCATTAGTTACATCTGAATCACCTCGTAAAAACATCAGTTATTAAATCTAAATGATTAGTAATAGGAAATTCAGTTGTCATCATCAGACACGGTTAAATCAATTCAAATTCTTCATCAGTTTTGGATATTACTTTCAGATTGAGATTCAATTTTGTATTCCTGATTTATCACCAGATTCAGATTCTGAATTGAGATCCAATATCATTATCGCCCTCAGAATGATCTTCTTTTTCATCGTCATTCATTTTCAGATTCAAATTCATAAACAGATTCAGAATTTATATTGAGATTCAGATTCATTATTAGATCCTGATTCTTCACCAGATTCCGGTTCAGATTCAAATATCATTATCGCTTTCAGAATTATCTTCATCTCCAGATTTAGCACCATATTCGTTGTCGGATTCGTCATCAGATTCACGACCCGGTTCAGATTCGTCATCAGATTAATCACCAGCTCCATCATCAGATTAATCACCAGCTCCATCATCAGATTCATGACCAGCTTCAGTTTCGTCGTCATATTCGTCATCGGATTCATGACCAGCTTCAGATTATCATCGGAATCAGGATCAGTTTCAGATTCATCATTGGATTCATGAACAGCTTCGGATTCATAATCAGATTCATAACCAGCTTCAGATTCATCATCAGATTAATCATCAGATTAATGACCAGATTCACATTCATCATCAGATTCGTGACCAGATTCAGATTCATCATCGGATTCATGACCAGCTTCAGACTCATCATCAGATTAATGACCAGATTCACATTCATCATCAGATTCATGACCAGCTTCAGACTCATCATCTGATCTTTAATGACTAGCTTCAGATTTGTCATCAGATTAATGACCAGCTTCTGATTCATCGTCTGTTTAATGACTTGCTTCAGATTCATCATCAGATTAATGACCAGCTTCAGATTCATCATCAGATTTTACCTAAAGATTCATTGAAAGATTCGTCATTAGATACCATCACAATCATTAATAGATTCATTATCATTATCATAATTAGATTCATTATTAGATATATTCGACCAGTAATCAGTCAGTAATCTCATCGTCATTGTAGATTAGAGATAGTGGTTTGATAATTGCGAAGTGAAAGATAGGCAAGAAAAGTTTTTATATTCAGGCCACAAAAAACTCTTATCGTTCCACCAAACTTCCCTTTTTCGCTGGCAAAGTATACATTGACATTTAAAACGTAGATATATATTATACATTATCTAATTGGTAATTGTTATCGTACATGAATAATTCATAGCATAAAATAAGCAATTATTATATATTGCAGTAGAATAGAAATGAAACACTCTTGGTATTTTTGTAATTTATGTAATTCACATTAATATTCCTACGGTATTTCATCTTAATTTGTGAAATTGACGTGGCTCATTTACTATTCTTAGGCAGTTCTTCTTGATGTAATATACGGCGTTTGGATGTAGTGTGGTTGTAGCATTCGGCAATCCTCGGCAGTTTCCGAAAAGCTAGCTGAACTTTCACAGTAGACCGTTTTGGAATAAGGTGGTTCGTTTTTAAAAAATAGTCGAAAAGGGAAAAAAAATGTTACATGTCAGCATCACAGCCTAATTGCAGAATCCCATGGTCAGCACATTTTATGAAATCAATAGAACGTTTAATAAAACAGAGTTTGGAACGCCCTCCACGGGTGCCGAAAAATAGTAGGTGCAAACAGAATTCGAAATGGCGGTGAAGGAAATAGATAGGACAATTTTGAATGAGACATATCCGTTTTCATGCAAATTTATTGAGGGCAGAATTAGAACAGACAGAACTCCCCAATCGAGCGTCATATAAGAGTTCGTATAAACCGTTAGAAATGGTATTATATATTGATGTAGCTGTTGACATAAAAACCATATGACTAATACATGCCATCTGTTACCAGTATAATATTATATATTGACAATGATATACATATAGATCTATAAAGTTTTAATGTGGCTATTCAGCTAATTGGTCGATTTCATGGATCACAATCAATTTGGTTTAGGTTTTCTCCACTTATTAAAGGATTTATTTACAATTAGTACGAACCAAAAAGCCATGTTCTAAATCGCGATGTCGTTTAAGATTTACCAGCCGATGGAGCTCAATAGATGTCTATAAAACTTTTCAGAAGGAACATCCAACGACCGTTTCTAATCATGTTTCAAAGATATATTTGGTTAAACATTTTCTGATATCCATATCACTTTTTAAAATTAAATCCGGCACCTGGCTCCCTTCCTATCGATACTTCCATGACAATACAGTAATGACATATACATGTACTTTTTTTTCATATACTGATAGTCTAAACCCCTTGCCATGCAACAAATTTTTCGTGTATTGCAGGCAAATCGAACTGTGGGTTTTCATCCTGAAACAGTGTTACGCACAGAGGAAATTGAACTCTATCACGAGAACCAATTCAAGGTTGCATACATATTGCATGAATGGGGTAAAACCTTCCATCTAAACAATGAATGATACTTTTTTTCCAAATGATAGTAATGTTGTATTCTTTATTGCATTATAGGTACACATTAATTAACATATTTATACCACTAGAGGCAAACTTTTATGACTCGTGCATCTCAATATTATTGTTATAAATAGAAAATAAATAGTTTATTTTTATTCGCCCAGTTGTTGAGTGAAACCGTACCAAAAGTTGTTGTTTTGTATCGTTACTGACCATACTGAGGCAAGTCTTCAGCTTGAATTATTCCAGTGAATGGTGTCAATAGCAGCACTGTCCATCCTATCTATGGAGTCCACATTGATTCTTTATGAAGCTTGATCCAGCGACGGACGAACTTAAGCTCCAATCTACTTTATTTTATTTAGTGATTGGCTAAGACATGTTTGTAAATGTTTTCAAATTTCTTCTTTCAGATTCACCATTGCTCCATTAAAGAAACCACCGGAAGTGACACTAGTGCGGGATCGTATTTGGTTGTCGTATATCAGGAATGCTTTAGGATACATCATGCCGTCTTGTAATCCACACACGTGTAAAGATGAAAAGGGGGTTTTTAAACTTCTGGGAATAACCCTTATTACATACTTCCTGATTATGGACATTATCATGTTTGTATCGCTACAGAAAACACCAGCACTACCTGACACTAAACCAGCAGTTCCTGGTCACTACTCCGTCTTCAGTCCCTTAACTACCAAACATCTTATGACAGACCATGTTACCTTATATATTATCAACCCAAGTGTAGAGTATTTTGAATCAATCACCAATTTCAGTTCCGTCTTCTCCTTCATAACGCCTAATATTATTAGTTTTTTTCATCTTTTAGTTGTTGCTCCCATAAGCATGAAACTAGTGTCTTCTCTAAACCTTACTGTCAGACGTATCGGAGCTTGCTTCTTTATGTTCCGGTCGTGGTTGGACACGCTGGACGGTGTAGTGTACCGTAGTCGGAAAGGAATGGGCCGTATGTATCATTCTGAAAGAAGTAGCAGTGGATATCTTGTCGACGCAGTGTGTGATGGACTTGGTGGTGTTTTGTTCTCTTTTGGAATTTTGTTTTATTTTTTTAAAATTGTGGACAGTAAGGCAAGTGAACTGCCTTACACGAAACTAGCTACAAGTGAAAATGGAACGAACCACAATAATAACAACAATTCAACGAACCCCGTTACGAGTTATAGTAAATGTAGGCTCTTTTGGAAAATGTGGTGTGCTGGTTTTTTAGTGGGAGTGGCAGCGTCAGCGTGGGATTTTTCAGTCGAAAATATGAAAATAGTTTTTAGTACAAAATTAACAGACCCTAAATTAACTGTAAGTTAACACATTCAAATTTTTGCCATTTTAACGCAAACTAATATATTGCGATCCGCTCCACCGGGATAATGTTGTCTTTATTACAGAAAATAAAGGAGACTGTGAATTGGTATATAAAATGTTTTTGTCACACTTGTCTACCCCGATTGGAAGTATTAAATTCAGACGGTTCATTGTCCACAACATTCATGCTTTACAATTTCAATCTTAACATTATCCTATAAGATATAAGTATGAATTATTATATACATTATACATTACAAGGCAAATATTTACATCCAATTTCAATGCATAACAATCTAAATATTTACCTTGCCGGTAACTGAATACATGTATTTACATTTTATACTTTCTAACTGAATATTTACTTGTAGTCAAATAGTAACGTGTTATATATCGCTAACTTAATATTTACATTCGATACATTTCTTAACAAACTGAATAGTTACAGTCTTGGCTTAACTAATTATCAAATTCTAGACATCACAGACTGATTATTTACATTCTTGTTATTACAAACGGTGTGTTACATTCTTGGTATTACAAACTGAATATTTACATTACAGGCATTACAAACTAAATATATACATTACAGGCATTACAAACTGAATATTTACATTACAGGCATTACAAACCGAATATTTACATTACATGCATTAGAAACTAAATATATACATTACAGGCATTACAAACTGAATATTTACATTACAGGCATTACAAACTAAATATATACATTACAGGCATTACAAACTGAATATTTACATTACAGGCATTACAAACCGAATATTTACATTACATGCATTAGAAACTAAATATATACATTACAGGCATTACAAACTGAATATTTACATTACAGGCATTACAAACTAAATATATACATTACAGGCATTATAAACTGAATATTTACATTACAGGCATTACAAACTAAATATATACATTTTAGGCATTACAAACTGAATATTTACATTCTAGGCATGGAAGAACTGAATATTTAAGCTTAACTTGTAGACTATTATAAACTGAATATTTTTATTACAGGCATTATAAACTGAATTATAAACTGAATATCTTCATTACAGGCATTATAAACTGAATATTTACATTTTAGGCATTAGAAACTGAATATTAAAGCTTACATTGCAGGCTATTGTGAACTGAACATTTTCATTACAGGCATTATAAACTTAATATCTACATTCTAGGCAATCAAACTGAATATTTACATTCTAGGCATTTCAAGCTGAATATTTACATTCCAGGCATTACTTTACATTTAGCCATTATAAACTGAATACTTACATTCTATGCATTACAAGCTGAATATTTACATCACAGGCATTACAATCTGAATATTTACATCACAGGCATTACGATCTGAATATTTACATCACAGGCATTACAATCTGAATATTTACATTCTAGGCCTTACAAACTAATAAGAAATATTTTAAGTACTTATTACCCGAACAGGACAACGAAACCCGAAATCCAACAACGTACTGGATTTAAGTATTATTAACTGAATATTTACTTTCTGGGCATTACAAACTAAATATATACATTCCAGGCATTGCAAACCGAATATTTTCATTATTGGAATAATTGCAAACTGAGTGTGTATATTCTTTGCATTACAAACTGAATATTTAATTCTAGGCATTACAAAATGAATATTTACATTCCAGGCATTACAAACTGAATATTTACATTCAATAACAACATGGTGTGTTATGTGGTTATGGAGGCTGTGTGAAGGACAGATATTTTTTGTTTATATGTGCTGGTCCATATTTGTAGATAAAGTTTGGGTATGTATAACATTTTAGGGTTGTCGTGATCCCCGGTTCCAAAATAGTTACTAGTTGGCAAGCGACCCTAATTTTCGTTGGCTCGATTGGAGCTTTTTATAGATAAAACTTATTGTAATACAATAATCTGGTCGCTTTCTGATAAAGCCTATGCATATTAAAGATGCCTCTATACCTGGTTATCAAATTCACTTTATATGTTCCTCATTGCACACTGTCAGGCATATTTATTGGCACAAACGTGAGAAAGAAGCATTGTTTTTTTAGAGACGAAATCTTAGTTCAGGCATCATCAGATTTGGGTTACTTCTAAGAAATTGTTATCTGATTTTACTCAAAGGATTAAGGAGGAATAGACCTTCTGCAAATCATTATCTGTAAGAGTATATATGACTAAGCTCTGATATTGGTCCTAAAGATGCTGTACAGAACTCTGTCTACTAGTATTCTGTATAATTTTCCTTTATTTTCAGGAATATGTGAATTTTGTACAATATATAGGTTATCTAGTAGTTTTTACTGTATTTATGATAAATTTCTTTTATATTAGACATGTAAGTATACTTTTGTTCAAATAAACAAAAGGGAGGGGGCTTTCAGTGGATGGAATTTTAAAAAAACAATCTGCTTTCACTATTGTTTTTTTTTTTCAATTCTCAATTAAAGTTATTGTAAAGATGTTCTCTAAACTCTAACACCATTCCATTTTTCAATCAGACGTTCGTGGTTCCTGCAATGAACCTCACTAAAATATGCTTATATTACATAAGGACTTTGCGATAGTGTCGACATGAAACGTGTGAGTGGAATTGCAGGAACCACAAATGTCTGATTTAATAATGAAATGGTGCAAATCAATATTAGTAGGTTTCTCCAAATCTTTGGTTTTAATCTCTTTTTTTTCAAGTTTTCATTCATTTTTGGCTGTTTTCTATTCTAAAAAATTCTTATTTTTCTTTTCAGATGAAAGCAGCTTTACATATATTATGAAAATAACACGATATCACCGTCCATGATTTATTTTCTATATCATTCTTGTTGTGCTCGATTTTGGTTGTTGTTGAGGTTGACTGGCTTTCAACTAGATAGTTTTTTTTAGTGATTAACAAATGGATTTAGGGATGATTATATTCATAAATTATTAATTGTTGAATTTGCACAACTGGATGTCGAATTCAATTTTTCATATGGGTCATTACACTAGCCATCCATGATCATACAAAATGTTTCTATAAATCATGTTCAAGAACAATGAAGAGTCAAAAATGTCCAATCAAAGACGATGTAAAAAGTGGGTTATCATTTAAGCCAAAGTTTATAAATGAATACACTAGAATTCTTCACAATGGCTTTGAACATGTGCCGTATTGCAACACCGTCAGATCATGGATTGCTAGAAAACATTGGACAAAACATCTGTATTTAAATCAGATGATGATCAGGATGAGAAGGTGCAATCCATGAGCATTATTTTTCTTTTAATATTTTTGACTAACAGTTGATAGCAAATTCTTCATCTGCTTTTGGAAAAAGTCAACGTTTATTATAGGGCGCTATGTATGCTAGTTGTGCATTTCGTTGAAAAAGAAATAAATGCGTATGAAGAAGGTCTTGATAATGTAATTTCTTTTCTCGCCTAGACCGTATATTTTCTAAATAGGCTATAGGTTAGCATTTACTGCAGTGAATGTTGCTATAAAAGGTGCCATTTTGCATTCTGACCATTCGCTGGAAGCGAACGTTAACTTGTCATCTACCATTCTGACCATAACTGCCACTGCTAGCTTAACATGACATTACTTTCAGCATTTACAGCCCGTATATGAAATAAACCGCTACTTGTTTAAAGTTTTTTTAACGATGGAAAAGTGTAATACAGTATTTATTTATCCGTTTCTTGCCGACTATTAACCAACCTGGTTAAGATTGACACTAATCTATACTATATATATTTTAGGTTGTCGGCTAGAGGGTAAAGGTGATTTGATTTTTAGATCTTTTCCGTTGGAATATTGTTTGTTTTTATTTAATGTTTCCAGACATCTTTAATTTTAAATGGAAAACACACGTCTAATTTATGTTACCACTCTAATCGCTAATAAAAGTCAAAGGCTAGATTTGGAAGTCACTTCATCTCTGAGCTGACCTGGCTATACCTTGAATTACTAAGAAATGCTTCGAATTCCATCAACTAGCTGACCAAGAAATGCTTAGTATTTTATCTTCTAGCTGACTTGCTATACTTAGAATTACATCTCCTAGCTGACCAAGAAATGCTTAGAATTGTATCTCCTAGCTGACCAAGAAATGCTTAGAATTTTATCTTCTAGCTGACTTGTTTTACATCTCCTAGCTGACCTAGAAATGTTCAAAATTACATCTCCTAGCTGACCTAGGCATGCCAAGATACATCTCCTAGCTGATTTGTTGTGCTTTAATGTGCATCTCTTTGCTAACCAAACTATGCTTAAAATTACATCTCCTAGCTGACTCCTTCGTCATTTTTAAACCTCCCCAAGTTAACCTAACTAGTCTTTAAATTGCATCTCAAACTTGCCAAAACTAGGCTTAAAGTTTCGTCTACCAGCAAATCCAAGAAAGTAAACCCTTGTACAAATTTCCAAAGAAATAATGATTATGTACTAAGTTATCACCAAGCACTTGCACCATGAGACCGGGGTCTACCTCTTCATTATTAACATTAAGTTGTACATTTATATTGACTTCCAATGCTTGGGTAGATGAGCAAATTTATTGAAACTAGCATGTCCTTCAAAAGTTCTCAAATTCGTTCGTCAAATTAACCTTTTGATCTAACCTGATAAAAAAAATGCCAGCTCTGGAGAGGGTAGAAATTTGATTTGTTACACTTACAGCAGACGTCACCGAGTTAGGTCAATAGGTTAATTTGACGAACGTCCAAGTGGGTTGTCGTTAGACCCTAACTGATGTGGCTACTTTATTCTCAAAGAAGTAAACCACATTATAAATATTAATGCAGCGTCACTTTATAGTCAACTGTATATTTTTGTTAACGGCTTCCCAGAGATCTAGGTCATGTACATGCCTCGAGCTTTTGATCCCATTGTTGATAATTCATAATATTAGTATATATTTTATTATATCGGGGTGTCAAGTTGTTACATATTATTGTTTTGTGATTTTTAAACATTGGAGTACCATTCACTACATGATATTAAAATAAGTGAAACGACAAAATCTTTTGTTTTATTTTTAAATATTTCATTTGCTTGTTGATATTAATCAATTTGTTCCCCCAAAATAAGCAGATATTCAGCTGTTGTCAGTGGCTTAATTAGATGAGTGAGGGCCTATGGACATTAAGGGATAGAAGCTCCAATTTCTTGACTTATCTTTACCATTAAAAGCTGAGCTAAAATCAGTTATAGTATTCACCGCTCACCGTCGAAATTTGAGCCTTCAAATCCGTGTTGTAGAGAATTATCCGCGTTTGAAACTTAAAAAGACGAGAAATACGAAAAGAAATTCATTGTTCGACATTTTTTGCTGAAAGCAAAGTCCCAGTTTGTTATCAAAATGTCAATTCTTTTTTTTTTTTTTTTTTTTTTTTCGTTTCGTCCACACCTTTCTGTGCTTAGACTACAGTAGTTACAGCTACGTTTCAAATTTCATAGACCTTCTATATAGGCGACGATGTGCATAAATATAAATTGGAACATTTTTGCAAAACCGGAAGTGCCACAGTTCAACATGTGTAAAAAGTCGAAAATCGGCTCTAGAAGGCGTATTTTTGCATCGATTTTCTTCGGGTTTTCATTTTTACAGAAAGAGATACAGAAAGCTGAAATTTAGCTCCGCTAGTTGGTCAACTGTACAGACGATTGTACCTTTTCAATAATAGTTATTTCGTCACCTGAAATTGTCTTGTGACAACAATGTTAAAGTTATTGTGGGACTTTGCTTTCAGTCCCAGTTTGTTATCGAAATGTCAATTCTTTTTTTTTTTTTTTTTTTTTTTTCGTTTCGTCCACACCTTCCTGTGCTTAGACTGCAGTAGTTGCAGCTACGTTTCAAATTTCATAGACCTTCTATATAGGCGACGATGTGCATAAATATAAATTGGAACATTTTTGCAAAACCGGAAGTGCCACGGTTCAACATGTGTAAAAAGTCGAAAATCGGCTCTAGAAGGCGTATTTTTGCATCGATTTTCTTCGGGTTTTCATTTCTACAATCTACCTGTAATTTCTGACCTGATAACACTTGAAAAATTAAAAGCTGAGCTAAAATCAGTTATAGTATTCACCGCTCACCGTCGAAATTTGAGCCTTCAAATCCGTGTTGTAGAGAATTATCCGCGTTTGAAACTTAAAAAGACGAGAAATACGAAAAGAAAGTCATTGTTCGAGATATTTTTGAGGGAATTATGCAATTTTTGTACATTTCTAGTACTTCTGAAGGCTATTTACATATGTACATATATGAAGACTCATATCAACACCCCTTTACATGTATTATTTAGCTCTTCTGACCCCAAACTTTTCAGTTTTCATAAAAAGTGGACTCAAAAATGCATCAAAAAACTGATGAAAGTGGCTACTTATAATTACGAGTGGAAGGGAAAATATGTGCTTTAGAACAGAAATGTTCTCTGAACAAACTTTTGTCGATGAACAAATGTTTAAAGATGAGGTTTACCTACTTAATAGATCCAGAAATATTATATTATTATAAATAGGATATACTTTGAATATTCAAGTATTTCCTTTTCCTTATTATAAGTACACTGTACCGAGTGATTAATAAACCCGATCTAGACATTTAAATGGATACATTCATCTAAATATTTGAATGGTCAGAGAGAGGTTTCAAATTCAGTCATTTAAAGAACTCTTCAGAATAAATATCCGACTCTGTTAAAAAAATTGACGGCTGGATTTCTTTAGTTAAAACTTTAAGATATGTTAAGGGACACATTTCTCTAGATTTTGGTGTAGTTTTCATAAATTTGAGCCCAAAAAATTTTCGACCTGAAAAATACAACATTCGTAAACCATTGTTCACAGTGACAACATTTTCGAGCAATATACCGGCAACACACTGGGGCAATTAAAGTATATAGCAACAGTTCGATAACAAGGTTGGTAATTGTTACCATTCCTTGCTGGTGGCTGCCATTTTGTTTAAATAAAATCAGATCAGAACTTTTCCATTTACAGTCCATTTCTGATCGTATAAAACTGGGCTTATTTTTTCACCAACATGATAGGAAAAATGCTGTCAATATGTACAGTACTTTAGGGTTGTTGTCACTTTCAAAAACACTACAGTGGGAGAACAGGTTGCCGAATAAAGGTTCTGGAAAGAGATACAGAAAGCTGAAATTTAGCTCTGTTAGTTGGTCAACTGTTCAGACGATTGTACCTTTTCAATAATAGTTATTTCGTCATCTGAAATTGTCTTGTGACAACAATGTTAAAGTTAAAGTTTGTTATCGAAATGTCAATTCTTTTTTTTTTTTTTTTTTGTGGGACTTTGCTTTCCGCAAAGTCCCAGTTTGTTATCGAAATGTCAATTCTTTTTTTTTTTTTTTTTTGTGGGACTTTGCTTTCCGCAAAGTCCCAGTTTGTTATCGAAATGTCAATTCTTTTTTTCGAATTTTACCTTCGCTTGTTTTCTAAGAAGGGAACATGCCACAGACTGTCTGTTGCTGTTTTGTAGTCAAAATATTTGACAGTTATTTGTTAAATGTAAATTGGCACCATTTTGACCAACCGGAAATGAGCAGTGGCCAATGGCTCTTTTTCGATTTTTTCCATTTATCAGCTTTAATACTGATCTGATATTGCTCAAACTTTACTGTTTATTACTTCGCGCTAATGACTACAAGATAGCAATTGAAAAAATCGACAATTTTGACTTTTGTCGCTGACTTTTTTAGCTCCAATTTTAGAGTTTTTTAACCTTTTTACTAACTTCTACAATTCTATTTTGATCAATCTTAAAACTTACATAGAGATAGAGATTTATATTGCGAACAAAAACTATTTTTCGAAATTTCGATATCACTTCCGGTTTTGGAGATATTTGCTTGTAAAATATAAAATTCAACTTCCGGAATTTTGAAGATATTTCAAATATTCTTTTTGCAATATGTTACAAATGGTCATACAAAAAACTTCAAATTATAAAATCCGACCCGGATGTAACAGTGTAGCCACCATATTGATATGTCAAACTTTTGTAAAATTCAAAATGGGGCCTCAGGGTATAAAGCGCTTTTCATAATTTTGATTTTTCTGGATATTGCAATCGATTGCGAAAAGAAATTTGGAAGCTGATTTTTGAATTTCGATTTTGCTTTTCTTTTATTTCCGGTTAAAATTTTTCGGTAATGTCCAAAATTTCAAAGGCTCCTATTTCGTGACCATGACCTTTGGTGACCTTGTGGCCTGAACAAAATTTGTTGCCCTTGATGATATCTATCCAGTGATATACTCATTTGTGCTGTGCAATGTTACTTCCGGTTTATA